GAAAGGAATCTCGAGGACCACCCTTCAACTCTAGAAGCCACCTTTTCCACCAGAGGCGCATAGTCCTTCTTAGTGAGACGCCTGGTGACCAAAGGAACACCAAGATACCGTACCGGGAGCTGCCCCACTTTGAATCTCGTGATCTCTCCCGTAGTTATCAACTCCTCCTCGCTCATTCCAGATGAGAAAACCTCTGCTTATTATGATTCAGCTGCAATCCAGAGTACTTATAAAATTATTGCAGCACACACATAATGCCCACAACCTTGTCTACGGATCCCTTCGAAAAAAATAACAAATCATCCGAAAAGCTTAAATGTGTTAAGCCGACTCGTTTTCACATAGGATGGAACTGAAAACCCCCTCGAAGTAGCCACATCTAACATTTTTGAGAGAATGTTCATAACTAAAACAAAAAGATGGGGGGCAAAGGGTCCCCTGTCTCACTCCCCTAGCCCCGGGAAAGAACCCCTCTAGCCCTCCATTGACAGCCATTGAGAACTTAGAGAACCCAATGCACCCCCTGATCTATTCCATAAAAAATTCTGGAAAACCATACACTTCAACGACACCCAAAATGGAGTATCAGTGCAAAGAGTCGAAAGCCTTCCTCAAATCCACCTTTACAACACATCGGGCAAACAAGGCCTTCCTGCCATAGCCCTTAACGAGCTCTTGGGCAAAGAGAATATTTTCAGAAATGCTTAGTCCTTTGACAAAAGAAGATTGGTTCTGCACAACCAGCTCAGGCATCCAACGAGCCATCCTAGCAACCATAACCTTTGTGATACACTTATATACAACTTGACAGCAAGAAATTGGCCTGAACTCACTAGAACTCATTGGGTTTAAACACTTAGGAACCAACATTATGGATGTTGCATTGAATCCCTTTAGAGGCTATAACTCCTGAAAATAATAGAACACCACCTTCACCACATCATCTCCAACTATATTCACGCAAAAACTCGTTACCCAACTTCTCTTTAGCTTCGGATGTTAGCTCAACCCCAAGCAATTCACACAAAAACTCTACAGTCGGCACTTCCACACTATTATCTCTACGACCTAGCATCTTCTGAACATAAGATACCAACTCCTCAAATAACTGGTGCCTGCCTTCTAGTCGTTCCCCTTTATCATTAAACAAAACCCGAATCATGTCCCTACTATTTTTTATTTTAACCGATCGATAAAAAACTTAGAGTTCCGATCGCCCTCCTTAAGCCACTGAACTCGAGACTTTTATCGCAAAAAACCTTCCTCACCAGTCAACAATTCATGTACTCCTTAAGAAGAGAACTCTTAATGGCCACTTCCTCAGCAGTGGCTAAATGCTCGAGATTTAACAACTGCCTCGCCTCAAGTTCTTTCCTTTGCACTAACACCCAAGAGTGCAAGTCACTATAGCACTCTTTACTCAACCCTTTTAGCCTTTTAAGCTTTTGGAACAACCTGGACAATGGATCACCACAAATCTCCCCAGCTCAAGACTCGAGCACCAAACCAAAAAAACTCGAATGATTCATCCATTAGTTAAAAAATCGAAAAGGTTTGGGCCTCAAACCTATCTGCTTGCACACATCCATAAACATCAAACAATGATAAAAAAATACCCGGATCCATAAACTCCATAAATGAACTTAGAAAACCCAAATTCCAATTAGCATTTACCATTACCCTATCTAACTTCCTACTTAATGCTCTCTCAAGTTGATGATTGGACCATGTAAATAAAGGCCCAATACAAGAATGGTCTAAAACCCCCATTTCCCTCACACAATGTTGAAAATCCTTCATATCCCTTGAAACATCCATGCTACCACAAAAATTAGAGTTTTCCTGAGGATCCAAAATGATATTGAAATCTCCAGCCAACATCCATAGAACATCACTAATCATCCCATGAAAATCTTGTAAATGATTCCAAAGAATGTCTGCCAATACCATCATTTCTACCATAAACCACATAAAAGAAACTCTCTGCACAACTAGAATTGAATCTATAAGTAATACATTGGTTAGATATAACAATAACATCAATCAACACAGTTGATTTCCAAAATAACCAAATTCTGTCATTATCCTCATCCACATAATTGTCACAAGAACCCCAACCCTCAAACCATTTTTCAGTAATCAACATCTTCTTTGAACTCTTAACTATCGTTTCCAAGAAACAAATAACATCAACCCCAAACTAAGTGCTCTTAAAAACGCACTTCTGCTTGATAGGGGAATTTAGCCCCTTAATATTCCATACTAGAAAACACATCAACAATTAATTCTCAAGACAGCCGAGGCCCCGCTACTATCTTTCCTCCTATCCAAATTATTCCTCTTCTCATTCTGTAACTCCTCACCAAGTCAGTAACACCAGCAGCAACATCCCTTGGTTTCTTTGAGGAGCCCACCCACCAACCCACCAATCTTTGAACCCGACCCCTTACTAAAAGATGCATCATTCCCTTTGACACCCATCTCCCCCAAATCCCTTGAAGACCTACTCACATTTTCCCCCAGAATCGAGGAGCTATCACTCAACATAACCAAATCAAAAGGAACTGCACTAACCCCTTCAGGATTACCCCCAACATCCACTGACTCAACCACATCCGAAATAAGTTCCCATTCCTCAATGTCTGCTACTTTAGCCACATCACACAAAATAGCAAACCTGTTAGAACTCTCTAATACCCTAACATTCTTACTCACACCACCACTAGAAGCCGAAATAACCTCTCTCCCAGCCTTTATAGGCAACTTATCCCCAACCTTCTCACCTTCTTGCTTACTCACCTCTCCAGGAGGCTCAACCTTTGGAACCCATCTTTCCTCTCCCCCTTCTTAAAGCAATTTTTTAACCCATGACCAAAAACAGAACATGTAGTGTACTTCTGCGTCAGCCATGGAACCTCAACCTTTACATCCACCTCAATACCATCTTGTAGAACCACATACACAAAACTAGGAATTTCCTAAACCATATCAATCTCAACACAAACTTTAACGTAAGCGAGCTTAGACTTCTCGGCAGTGATACGATTCATGTAAAGAGGCACCCCTAACGCACTAGCAATGTAATTAGTTCCCACATGAGTATACAACTCTAAAGGAATCCTATACAACTGAATCCAAATAGAAAAGCAACCTAAACTAAATTCCAAAGAATTCATCCCCAGTTCCCACTTACGCACAATTAAAGGCATATTTTGAATATGCCATGGACAATGTTCAATCACTCAATCCCTAGCCTCATCAGAACTGAAGTGGACAATGAAAACCTTTCCACCAGCAGTTTTAATTGTAACAGAGCCCAGTTTATCCTAGAGAATCCTAATCAACTTTTCCATTGCCCCAAAATTAGGAGTTTTATCAACAAATTGAAGCACAAGAGAGTGTTTACACACCTGAGTTCCCACAACGAATACCTCCTTATAGGGATGTTCACTGTTCGGTTAAAACCGAATTAACATACTAAACCAAAATTTCGGTCGGTTAATTTTGGGTTTTGTCGGTTAACGATTAATGTTTTTTTTTTTTCAAATTTCGGTTTTGGTTAATTTGGTTCGAAATTGGTCAATTAATTAAAATTATTAAATATTATATATATAATATTTAGCTTTAAGGGTGTTTGCACTAGGTTTTTACCGAATTAACCGACCAAATTAATCGAATAAATCAAAAAATATTAAATATTTAATTTATAATATATATTATTTATATATTATCTATAAATTTCAGTTAATTCGGTTAACCAATTAATTAACCGAACTTAGTTCAGTTCGGTTAAATTTTTTTAAAAAAAAAATCGATTCAATTAACGGTTAATGAGGAAATAATTTAATTAATGAAATTTAAGTAATTCGATTTGGTCGATTAATCGAATTACCCGTTTGAACGCCCCTGCCTCCTTGGGGGAGCCACCGTAACATAACCATTCCCACAAGCCTACGGAAAATAATCGAGCTTCTGATCCATAATAGGCGCTAATCAGGCTTAGAAGACCCCGAACCCCACTCCTACTTCAGCCTCTGGCATCACCAATTCGAGAGCCACACAAGCCATAACCAAAAGAAAGAGAACCTCGCAAAATCAAGAACTAGGTCAAAATCCCATCGAGAGAAAAATAGAATTTTCTATGTAATTAGATTTTATATTTATATATCGGTCACATTTTATTTATGATTATTTTGAATATATTTTGAATATTATTCTAAATGATGCCTTTATAATTAATGTAATCTAAGTACCTATATAAAAAGAAAAAATAAATAAATAAATAAAGGAAGAGCAGCTGCAGAGATGAGTCCCTACCAAGGCATTTGGTTACTCGTATTTCGTTGAAGACAGCCACATGCGAGCGAGTAGTTATAATGGAAGCAAAGCCAATGCCATAAGTGAGAGAGTAAAGAAGATGCTCAGGTTTACGCGTCCCTGCTGTGCTCGTAAGCGGGCATTTCGATTTCGAAATTCGGATTTCCGATGCCGGTATGTTTTATAATTCCCGTTGTTGTTATACAAATGTGAGGAGAAAACTGGGAAGGTTCGACCATCGTAAAGATTTAGTCCTCAGTAGGAAATTGAAAGTACGACATACAGGAATAACGCAAAGCCTACAAAGATATTGACAAGTGCGAAGAAAGGGTTGCCAGGGAAGGATGCAATACATGATGAAGCTTCTTTATTGAACCACCTGATGTTTTTCTTTATCGTGTGACCATTTTTAGAGACAGATATACATTTAACCCATAGATATTATATATATAAATTATAAATACACATATATATACATACATTGGAAAATGACCATCCAGCTCAGTTCGTAGAGCATAAGGTTCTTAACCTTGGGATCGTGGGATCGAGTCCCATGGAGGTCATTTCATAATTTGGAGTTCTCTGCTTTCAATTTGGTGTTGGGGACAGTCTACTATCTTACCTCCCCTTACCCCATTACATATGGAAATAAGGGTCAACTAATTTAATATACATACATACAAATACTCGTTAAGCTTGAGCGAATTTTCGATTCTTAAAGTCTTGCTGATACCTTGTAAACATCAAGTAATAAGGTAGCAGGTTCTAACAGAGTACAAGGTCAAACATGAAGCTTAAAATATGGGGCACCCATCGACTGATATCCCCTTAGAAGTGGGGCAAGTTGCTAGATCACAGTGCTCGGGTACAACATGGGGACTGGCACCCCACCAGTTCAAACCCTTATCCTCAACCCCCAGTGCGATATAAAGCAGCACTGTCATGAATGCTACCCCTGCGTCCAATGCTGCCGACAGAATGTAGTTATACCTCTGCCACCATTGCTTTCGATACCTGAATACGAAGAAGTTGAAGATAGTTCCAACCAGAATCCAGGAAGTATAGTTCAATGGTGATGCCGGTGGCATGTTGCCGGTTGCGCCTAAGAGCACTGGCAGATTGATAAGGGGAATCCATGTCTGACTGGGAAATGCTTTGTGCAAAAGCCATACTACAACTGGTCCCAAAAGTCCTCCTAGGAAGAACCAGTTAAGTGTAGAGTACTCCCCATGTGAGCCGAAAATTCGTCTCGGTCCAACCAAACCCCAAATAACTGATGCATCGAAAAAGACTTTATCGCCCGGGCATGTCCATGGACTATTTGCTGGGAGAAGAGATTTGTGGCATATGTTCTCAACGGAAGAAAGAAGCCACCAGGCTACGCCAAGGTTTACTGTTCCGGCTAACATGGTTCCAATGAACTGAAATGTAAATGCATCAATGAAAGAATTAAGAGAATTATGCAAGTTAATACAGAAAAAGAAATGATCTATAATAAACTATAATACCTGAACCAAGAACATTGATCTTGGAGGGATTTTCATGTAATGACCGAGCTTAAAATCACTAAGAAAAGCCACTGCCTGAGCCATGCTCATGTACCCATACGTCTTGAAACAGACATTGGTTATTGGTTGTCCAGGCAATATTCCTCCCATTATGTACTCTGTAATGATATTCAGCCCTGGTGTCTGCCGGGGAAAAACATAAACATTCATCAATCAAGTGTAAATTTTTATGAAAATTATCCTTGTGGATAAGCAAAACTGCCATCTTAAATTACTTGATTTGTCGTGGCTGTTATAATGCTGATAGGCAGAGTGAAAAAGAAGGCAAGCGCAGCAGCAAATATTAGCCCCCACCAAGGCATTTGGACATCCTTTTTAAAGAAGATGCATAGTGCAAGACCGACAAGAATGGACACGGCAAGAAGCGAATAAAACCACCATGAAGGTATGTCCTTGTAGTTTCTCATCAACCTCGTATGAACATCGGCCTTTTCCCTCGAAGAAGCTCGATATCGACTATAAATTTCCCTGTAATCAACACGGTTCTTACTAAAGATGAGCATCAAATGGAACAATGAAGTTTCCTTCTGAAATAGCTAAACAATTTTTACCTTCCATAGAACAAGGCCACATGTGTTACTGTGGAAGCAATAGTGGCGAACCCAAATCCATAGGTGACGGCAAAGAAAGTGCTCAAATGGACACTCCCTAACTTCTCATACTCCGACACATTGAGCTCAAGCTTGTTGTTAACTATTGATGAAACGTTATACAACTGACCTTGTGCGGTGAACAAGTCTGATGAAAATATGGGAAACGTTTTCGCTTTGTAAAGGTTTAGCCCCCAGTAAGATACTGGCATCACAAGGTATATTATCAAGGCATACCCAATGAAGACGTTTACAATGGCGAAGAAGGGAGAAACAAGTGGGCTAAACAAGAAAGAAGCAACGGTCGTCCAGTCAAGTGTGAAGGCCCCTATGCCGAGACCACTCATGCCTGAGCCGATTTGGTGGGCTGTTACTGAATGGGGGAAGGCTAAGCACACCAAAGATATGCTTTGCAAGGTTTGGAAAAGGTAACCTGGAAATACATACCAGCAGAAGCTACATATTAATGCAATCACAAAGAATTTCGACCGTGATATGCGGCGCTTGCCATCAGTGTTTTCTTCTTTTTCATGCAAAGTCCTGGAATATCAGCAGCCGAACAATGTTAAACAATGAAAAATTGTGCAATATATATGCCAGTTCTCTCCTTCCCAGAGATAAATACTGAATGCCTTGAGCTGAAATGTCAAATGAGGTCAAAAAACGAATAGGATAAACTACATGTTTAGTACCCTAAATATCACTTTTGTTTTGGTTTAGTTACCCAATTATTTTTCTTAGTCATTAATAACATATTATAGCTGCTCAAACTCAAAACTTATAAAAATGATAACGTTACTTTTAACTATTGAGATCGTTTGATGGATATAACTAGATGAATTAAAGCTTCAGAATATTCATATATAATATATATACGTAGGGAGATCATACTAGGTACTAGGTACCTGAATAGAGAAATTTGAACAAGTGTAGAGGGCCACCACATATGCGCCGGCTCCACCACAAACTTCCTCAGTATCCCCGCCCAACCATATCCCATAACCTGCATTTAAGAGACCACGACATTTATCAGATAAAACGAAAGTTATGCCATTTATGAGAAATTCTCAATTCTCATTCTTAGAATCATTTATACATGATTAACATGTAGGATTGAAAAGTTAAGTAACCCGACCTGTGTAGTAATGATAAGAAGCCAACTAGACAAGAAAGAGATGCTCCTTCCATAAAACGCTTTGATAATGGTAACAATACCAACAGCATAAACCGTACCACTTCCGAAAGCGCTCCCAGCATTAGCGAATATGGTAATCAAAACATGCTCCTTCATGTTGAACGGTCCGGGGTTAAGCGAGAACTCCCTTGAACCAAACCCCGGCATACGAAACTTAGTCGTGGGAAGAGCCGAAGCCATGAACCGTCCGATGGGGAGAGTCGCCACCTGGACGGTGATTTGGGTGATGACGAGCGGCTCGGTTCGGTAGCCAAAAAACTGGTTCAAGAAGGAAAGAAGGATGCATGAGAAAAGACCCAAGAACCACATACGGAAAGTCCATACTGGGAGTGAAGGGTCGTCGGTGTTGGGCACTGTTAGACGAACTTCTTCTATCGGAGACAGCTCGCTTTCGTCGATAACGGCATCCTCTTTCACCGCTTGCTCAGCCAGTTTTGGCGATGCTTCAATTTCCAGAGTTCCCATTGTCAGCAATAATCAAAACCAAAGAGAAAAAACAAAAACTTTTTATTCCGTAGAGGGAATGTTTTGCTGGAATCTTTACTGGGTGTTTTATGTATCTTACTCTCCTATAAATAGAACCTCTATGTCCACTAAGTTGTCCCCAATAAATGCCCACTTTTGTTGTGTGTTATTAGGTTATTTATAATTAACCATTTCTCTTTTTTATTAATAAAGCTAATTTTGAGAAAAATAATTATTAGATAAGAAATAAAAATAAGGTCAAATTCTATATAAAATAAGTTATATATTTATTTTTTATGAGTTTAACTTTCTACTATAATTTGTTTTTTTTAAAAAGAAAATTTGATTTTTTTAAAAAGAAAATTAGCTTTGACGATATGTATTTTTAATTCTAGAACTGCATATTTTGAGGTCAATTTCTTGGACATCGGGCCGGGGAAGTTCTTGGTCTTACTTTTGTTTGAAGATGATTCCAATATTATGTGACAAAGGATTGTGTAAGTTTGTTTAATTCCATAAATTGACTGCTGTTTGTTTTTTTGTTATAAGATGATATAGGGATAGTTTAAGAAAAGAAAATTTAAATTAAAGCTAAAGAAAAGTGCGATCGAAAATGTTATAAAATTTATAATATTTTAAGTTGAAAACAATCTATAATATTAATTTTTAACATTTTTCGGTTGAAAACTTATAACATTTTCTGTTGACAACCGAAAATGTTATCTTCTTCATAATATTTTTTGCTTAACTGAAATGTTAGAAGAGTTAATATTTTAAGTTTCGTTCATCCTAAAATATTATGATTTTGATAACATTTTAAGTCGTATTTATTTCGTGTTGTTTCTTAACCTTAAATTAGGTTGTTGTACAACAAACTATCCTTAATTATTAAAGTTACAAAATAGTAGATTAATAATATAAAGAACATTAATTTGGAAATAAAAGAAAATAAATAACGAAAGAGAGTCCGTTTCGTCCCAAAATTACCGATTATTTGTCACTTTTTTTTTATATGATAGTGGGAGTAATCACTCACCTGTTCATGAACGTAGCTTATACGTTGTAAATTACAATACAATACAAAATTAGCGATTTTGTTTCCGCGCGTTGCGATAATCTACAGTAAATTAAAAAAAGATTTTGTTTCTCTAAAAAGATAGTATCCGCGCGGACGTGTCGGAGACACGTATGACCACGACCACGACCACGACCACGACCACGACCACGACCACGACCACGAGACGGCGGCGGCGGCGGCACGCGAGAGTCCCCCTTGTTCTCTTTCACTCAACAAGGAAATGGGAAATCCAAGCCTTAAATACACTTCCATATAGTGTTTCCAATACTATGTGGGATTGAGCATTACTCAACACTTCAAAGAAAATATAGCAATTTTTGTAGCATGTTTCCTACTTAATACATATCTAAAAATATTAAAACATTTTATCATATTAAAACTATATGTATAAGTTTGAATTGAAATGTAGATATCTACAACTCTTTTAATTCTCTTGATAAAATGATAAAATGTTTTAGATATGGATTAAGTGGGAAACATGCTACAAAAATTGCTATATTTTCTTTGAAGTGTTGAGTAATGCTCAATCCCACATAGTATTGGAAACACTATATGGAAGTGTATTTAAGGCTTGTATTTCCCATTTCCTTGTTGAGTGAAAGAGAACAATGAGGACTCTCGCGCGCCGCCGCCGCCGCCGCGTCTCGGGTCGTGGTCGTGGTAATACGTGGTCGTGGTCGTGGTAATACGTGTCTTCGACACGTCCGCGCGGATACTATCTTTTTAGAGAAAATTCTTAAGAAACAAAATCTTTTTTTTTTTAATTTACTGTAGACTATCGCAACGCGAAATGGAAAATCGCAACGACACTGTAGACTATCGCAACGCGAAATGGAAAATCGCGTTGCGATTTTCAACTATCGCAACGCGAAATGGAAAATCGCAACGCGATTTTCAACTATCGCAATGCGAAATGCAACGTGAATTTGCAATAGTGGAGATCGCAATGCGAATTAGATATCGCATTGCGATTTTGTTGGTCATTTTCGCAAATCCAAAAAAAGTTGGTCAAAATCGTATATTATCTGGGATTTTTGGTCACTGAGGTTATTTTCTCTATTAATAATTAGATAGTTTAGGCCGGCATTCATATCAATCAAGAAAACTCTATTTGTTCATACAGCATGATTGCAACATATAGTTTCATTCAAGGAAACAAACTATTGAATCAAACCAAAGAGCTTTAGAAACATTAACACAGAAAGTAGAAATTTACAAATAAATACAACATATATATTCCCCTCTCTCTTGGGTGATGAAGAGGAGCTGGGGGAGGTGTTAGGTAAGTAGTAACGTCAACCTCACGGTTGAACTCCTACATGTATATCAACTCAAAGTACTGGCGATGTTAAAGGATCAGCGTCTTTTACTCCTAGATTTGGTGATCCTTGATTTACTTGATTCATTAGGCGGTTCCGGTTTCCAAATGATATCCTCAAGGTTGCTACAAATTTCTTGTAAAACTGTGAGACAAAGATGCATTGTTTATGTCGGAATCCGAAAACAAATGAGTTTAGAGAAAGATTATGTTCAAGGGGGGAGGTCGACCCGTACGGGCATGCCAAGAAACTGAGTAAAAATAGAATGTTAAAAGCAGATTACTTGATCAAACAACACCTGGGGTGTGAGTGAAACAAGGTAAACTAACCTTTAGGTATTCTCCTGCATCACCGGCTGCTTTTTGCAGATCTACCATCAGAAACGTGGGAGCAACCTCGAAAACCTTCAAATTCCCGAGAACAATCAGAGGAATGGGGGAGGAAAAAATATTAGTTAGAAGCTAAAGAAGAATTCAGCAAGAGTTGAGATCAATAACCTACTTCGAGGATAACTGAAAAATTGTAACAACTCGAAAATTTTTAAAAAAATATTTAATTAAGTAAATTGGCGAAATTTGAGGATTTAATTGAAATTTTTAAAACTTATAGCCTATTTTAAAAAGTGAAGGGAATTCAGTGACCAATCACTGAATATTTCCAAAGAGTATCGGCAAGTTAAAGTCTCGACTTTTTTTTATCACCTTCGTCGAAAAAATCTTAAATTTATCACTGATCGTTGCTCGGTTTTCGACACCTCCCGCACCATCGTGTTCCTTGTATCGTTCTGGGTTCGCCGGTGTCATCCTTTGTCTCCGTAGAAGGCAGCGTGACGAGGTGAAGCGGTCAAAGTTTTCGATTTGTTGAAATCGAGCTCTCCGCCGTTCAAAAATTTGAACCGAGCTTTGTAAGTATATCAAAATCGCTCAAAATAATTTTTAGGAATTTTTCCGTGAATTATACACTGCCGGAAGAGCTCTCACGCACCGTCACTGTGCGTGGGGAAGGTCAAAATGACCGGTTTTAAACCAGTTTGACCGATTCCAACCCGACCCGTTGACCGTTGACCGAGTGATATTTTAGTAATTATTTTTAAAATGATGATATTTTGGTAATTATTTTGAAAATGGTGCTATTTCGTAATTTTTTTAAAAAAGTGATAATTTTGTAATTTTTTTTTAAAAATGTGATATTTTCGTAATTAGTTTTAAAAAGGTGATATTTTAGTAAATATTTATTAAAAGGGTGATAATTGTGTCAAATGGTTGATCATATGTTGACCACCTTTGACCAGAACTTTGACCGGCCATTAAACGGCCGTTAATCTTTTCCGAATATACCTATCCTGACATTTTTCGACGTTTTGAATCCGTTTTTGGGGTCCGTTTCACCAAATTCGAAACCCGAAAGTCTCCAAATCGTCAGTCAAATCCGTTGACTTTGATTTTGACCAAGAATTCAAAATTTCGAAAGGTCATACTTTATGTTTTTCGACGTCTTGAATCTGATTTCGAAGTCCGTTTTGCCAAATTCTGACCCAAAAATCCCCGAATCGAGCATGTGAACCAAAAAAGGCTTAGTATTTTAGTATTTTGATTATTTATTTGAGATTTAGTTAAGGAATTGATTCAGTAAAATATTTTATGAAAGTACTTGTCACCCCCTAGACCCGGCCTATGCGTTTCGACTAAGTCTAGTGGATCACATTATGATTATTAAAGACATTTTTCGAAACCGTTATTCCATCAATATAAAATCACATTATAAATAACATGAAATTATAAACAAATTATACTATCAAAATCCAACTCGTAAATATAGTACCAATAAATAATAATTTAATTTAAAACACGTCTTCAAATTCAATATCACAATAAACCGAGCAGTATTAGCAAAAGAGTTATCATTATAAAATCCGATATTTTAAAATAAGGTCCATGTCACCAAAATAAAGTCAACTTGCCAGATAAAAACATTACAATTTGATTTACTTCAAGAGATATGTTGATCCTCCAAGTGCTCGAACCAAGGTATCTAACCAACAGTATCTGAAAGGGGAAAACATTTTCAAAAGGTGAGCTAGGCTCAGTGTGTCCCAACATTTCCATAAAATCACAATAGGTACAAATCATAGTCCAGTAATCTCACAAATTCGTAAAAGAGTTTAACTTTTTGAAAATCATAGTTTAAACCCTTTTCTGGTACACCATCAGTAGTTCCCAAAAGTATTTTTCCATATAGCTTACTTTATGCACATAGCAAAAAGAAAGCCGACTTAAGGATAGGCTATGATGCTTGTATCCTTAAGCCCAAGTCAATAAGTCCATATAGCTTACCCTAAGCACACAGCAAAGGAAAGCCGACCTAATGAAACATCTTGGGGCCCTCAAGAGTCACATTAGGCCCAGTTAGCTTGATCAGAGCTATTCCATCGTAATTCAATTCCAAAATTCAATTGCACCGTGACATAAATTCCATAAATCCAAAAACATGGTAATCATATACCATTTCAAAACAAAAATTAGATAGCAGCCATATTCCATAAATTGTCACATTAAATTGGTGCATCCATAAAACAATAACCAATGAATTCGGTGTACCACATATTAAAACCAATAAAACAGTTCAATAATAAGTAGGGAACACACCTCGACAATAGGTTCAAATAGCAAATTTACTGATTGCTGGTTTCACCACGCTCTGCTACAATTTTCGAACGGGTGAATACTGGCACACGTGGTTTAACTGATCTAGAAGAGCTGGGTCGAGCTGTCGAACGATCCGGAGAGTCTCTTGTACCTTCAAACAATAATAATCTATCAGTATCAAATCCTATTTAATTGTTCAAAGCTAGTATTCTTAAGTATATAAGCATTTTTCGAGTTTGACTATCAATTTGGGGTATTTCGAGTCTGAATTTGGCCAAACGGATTGCGGCAACAGAATCAGGACGTCGAAAAATATAAAGTATGACTTTTCGGAAATTCAGATCTTGGTCAAAGTCAAAGTCAACCACTTTGACCGTCGATTTGGAGACCTTCGGGTTTGAATTTGGCGAAACGGACTGCGGAAATGGATTTGGCACGTCGAAAACTATCAGGATAGGTATACTCGGAAAAGATTTACGGTCGTTTAAGGGTCGGTCAAAGCCATTTTAAGTTGTAGTCAAAGAAAGTCAACTCGAAAAATATAAAGTATGACTTTTCGGAAATTCAGATCTTGGTCAAAGTCAAAGTCAACCACTTTGACCGTCGATTTGGAGACCTTCGGGTTTGAATTTGGCGAAACGGACTGCGGAAATGGATTTGGCACGTCGAAAACTATCAGGATAGGTATACGGAAAAGATTTACGGTCGTTTAAGGGTCGGTCAAAGCCATTTTAAGTTGTAGTCAAAGAAAGTCAACGGTCAACGGTCACGGTCAACGGTCGGGCCGGGTCAACAGTCGAGTCGGGTCAACAGTCGGGTCGGGTCAACCAGCAGCTCACTCTCCCTGCGGCGGCGCGTGCGGCGCGTGAACAGTGCCACGGTGTCGGAAAATTCCTGGAAAAATTTCTAAAAATTATTTTGAGCGATTTCGAGATACTTACAACGATCGGTTCAAATTTTTGAACGGCGGAGAGCTCGTATTTCAACTCGGCCGAATCTTTGACTGCTCCACCTCCTCACGCGCCGCCGTCGACGGCGAACAAGGTTGACACCGACGGACTCGCAACGACACAAGGAACACGATGGTGCAGGAGGTGTCGTAAACGGAACAACGATCGGCGGTGAATTTAAGTTTTTCCCTGATGCTAAAAAAAAAAACGACGATGCTTTGACTGAAAATTCCCGACGTTTGACAGCGTTTCACTTCAATTAATTTGAAGGGTTTGTTCCTCGCTTGATGATGAACACAACGGTGGTTTCAATTTTACGATTGGACGTCGAACGGCGTCGGAATCGGGCTTGGAAGTAAGGGTACGAGAGAAGGAAAATTGAGCAATTCTCAATTGTGTTTTCTGATTTACAATCAGAAACCACGCTTAAATTATAAGCCTGCCGACACTCCTTGGAGGAATTCAGGGCTTGGTCCCTGAATTTCCTTCAACTTATAAAATGGCCTATAATTTTTTATAAATTTTAGTTCAGTCATTAAATTTCACCAATTTCACAATTAATCCAATTCAATTAAATATTTTTTGTAAATATTGGGTTGTTACAATTCTCCCCTCTACAAGAAATTTCGTCCTCGAAATTTACCTTATGAGAATAGTTGAGGAAACTGAGCCTCCATTGACTCCAATGTCTCCCAGTAGCTTCTGAGGGGCCTCGATTACTCCACTGAACTTTGACCATTGGAATTCGCCTATTCCGAAGAACTCTTTCATCTCTTTCTAAAATCTGAATGGGCTCCTCCTCATATGACAAATCCGGTCTCAGCTCTACTTCTTCAACCTGAATAATGTGACCTGGATCTGGACGGTATCGCCTTAACATAGACACATGAAAAACATCATGAATACGACTGAGGTGGGAAGGCAACTCAAGCTGATAAGCAACAGGTCCAACTTTCTTCAGAATACGATACGGCCCAATAAATCGTGGACTCAATTTACCCTTACGCCCGAATCTCAATACTTTCTTCCACGGTGAAACTTTTAAGAAGACCTGATCACCAACCTCAAATTGTATATCTTTCCTTCTCTGATCTGCATAAGACTTCTGCCTATCAAATGCCTCTTTCAAACGGTCACGTATCAATCTGACTGTGTCCTCCGTCTCTCGCACTAACTCAGGTCCCAACGTTTTCCTATCACGCAACTCAGTCCAACAGATCGGAGTGCGACATTTACGCCCATAGAGTGCTTCATAGGGTGCCATACAAATGCTGGTCTGATAACTGTTATTGTAAGCAAATTCAGCCAAAGGCAAAAATTTCTCCCATCTACCATGAAAATCGATTACGCATCCCAGCAACATATCCTCAAGTATCTGAATCACTCTCTCAGATTGACCATCAGTTTGTGGGTGAAAGGATGTGCTATAATCCAATCTTGTTCCCAAAGCCGTATGTAGCGCCTTCCAAATCTCGAAGTAAATCTCGGATCTCGATCAGAAATAATAGACAATGGAACACCATGCAATCTAACAATCTTTGAAATATACAATCTTGCCATCTTGTCCAAAGTATAATTTACTCGCACATGAATGAAGTGAGCTGACTTTGTAAGTCTGTCAACAATCACCCAAACTGATCTTTTTCGAAGGAGTCATAGGCAAGCTAGTAACAAAATCCATAGTAATACGCTCCCATTTCCATTCAGGAATCTTAATAGGCTGTAACAAACCTGATGGATGTTGATGTTCTGCCTTAACTTGTTGACAAGTCAAACACCTCGCTACAAATTTGAGATGTCCTTCTTCATGCCGATCCAATGATACCTCTCTCTCAAATTCCGATACATCTTATCTCCACCGGGGTGCATAGCATATGGACTACTATGAGCCTCAGTAAGGTAGTCTGTCTCAACTCAGCATCATCAGGCAC